TCCATTCCATGGTATTATTTGTTGATATTATCATGCAGGCTTACCCATTTACAATAATTACCATCACAACTTACTAGCATTTAATTTATTCTAATGAATAAGCTTACCATTGTTAAGAATAATCCAAATTCAGGATTGAGACTCACTACGTCTCCATCAGTGAATATAAACTCAGTCTTTCTCTCCTTCCTGCTCATCAGTACAACATAAATCTGTTGAGCTGCTACTGACAGTACTGGTAGTTCTATTCTATTGAACTCATCAAAGCAGCCCCAGGAGCCAGACTGGGCCAATCCTTTGTATATTCGTCCTAATCCTCTAAAGTCCATTTGATCCGAACAATTGAACACAACCACATACTTCCCTAGAGCTCGGCCCATGTCCTTAGTAGTCTCAGTCTTACCAGTACCTAATGTACCAGTGATAAATAAATAAATAAATAAATGAATAAATAAATAAATAAATAAATAAATAAATAAATAGTTATGCATACCTGCAGGTCCAGCAGGGGCTCCTCCCATAGACATTCCCAGTGCTTGTGCTAGTGTTATATAGCACCTGTCAGTCAATGGAGTGATGACTAGTCTCTCAGTACAGCCTAGGAACTCATTCTGGTAGGTGAAGTCCACATCAGTTATTGATATGACACACTTGTCAATGTCATCATTGAAATAGAACCTACTTTGCTTCAACCATTCAAAATCAGTTGATGATTTAATATTCATACGAACCTGTGAAAAATGAAACAATTAAACTTTAATTATCATTATTATTATTATGCTTGCTATTCTAAGCTACCCAAGGCCAATGTGAAGAATCAATGATGTGAAAACAATAAAAAAATTAAAGTGATACACAATCTCTATTTAATGTATACTATAAATGTAGTACATGTACTTTATTACATGTACATGTTTACATAGTGAATTAATTTGAATCTCAATCATGGAGCAATAATTATTTCAAAATATGTTTTGGAAATTTATTTCTAGAGCTACATGTACATGTGTACATGTAGCTCTAGAAATAAATTTTGTGAGATCAATCTAACTAAAAATGAGAGACTTAAGGACACCTAAGCTAAGTATGAGAGACCAAAACTCTCCTAAACTCCCCCTAGATCTACATGGACCCAAAAGCTACATGTATAGCTTTGGATATTTTTGGAATTTTTTGAAATGGCTGTAACTCAAAAAATTGAAGTCGGAATCAGCTCAAACTTTCTACACAGCATAAGGACATCAATATGTATCAGAAAATGTAATAAAAATTCGGAGTAATTTTTTGGCCATTTTTGGAAAAAGCCATGGACTATAGCCTTGGGTATTTTTCAGATTTTTGGCATTTTCTTAAAATGGCCGTAACTTGAAAAATTGAAGTTGGAATCACCTCAAACTTTCTACACTGCATAAGGACATCAATATGTATCAGAAAACGTAATAAAAATTTGGAGTGATTTTTTGGCCATTTTTTGAAAAAAACCATGGGCTATAGCCTTGGGTATTTTTCAGATTTTTGGTGTTTTCTTAAAATGGCCATAACTTGAAAAATTGAAGTTGGAATCACCTCAAACTTTCTACACAGCATAAAGACATCAATGTGTATCAAAAAATGTAATAAAAATTTGCAGTAATTTTTTGGCCATTTTTTGAAAAAAACCATGGGCTATAGCCTTGGGTATTTTTCAGATTTTTGGTGTTTTCTTAAAACAGCCATAGCCTGAAAAATTGAAGTCGGAATCAGCTCAAACTTTCTACACAGCATAAGGACATCAATATGTATCACAAAATGTAATAAAAATTTGGAGTGATTTTGGAGCAATTTAAAAACTAGTAACAGCTAGTGTACAATGTCTTACCAGGTCATTGAATATGTCCCTCTGATGAAGGTGTATTGTGATCAGTGTCTCATACTTTACTCTGTCAATCTTGTTCAGTTCTTGTGTCGTCATTTCAATGAGAGAATTGAGCATGTCAAGGAATGCTTGGTCAGTGGCAGCCATTATCTTCTTGTCTGATCGAGCATTCTTCAGTGCATTAGTTGAGTCCATTGTCCAAATGATCTGTAGACCAAGGAGACCAATCTATAGCCACAGACAAATAGAAAAGAAACATTACTAGTACAGAATTCCACTAATACATTATACATGTACTGTATACGTGGTAATGTTTGTGGTTTATTAATTATTATTATTTACATTTCACAGTAAACTCACTTGAGCAGGGTAACTGTTTAAGAAGTCAATGAGGTCAAAGTTAGGATCTTTAATGGTCACTGCAGCATTCCTTATCACAGAATGAACTGATTTCTTTGCCATGTCAAGAAGCTTCCCCAACCATATCTCAACATTTCCCTGAGCAAGAACTGGCTTCTCTAACTGCAAGAATATAATGATAAAAGTGAAAAGTGTAAAAGCATCCAAATTGATTGTAACTACATGTACATGTGTATTAGTACTGCTATTATGGAGTAGAGGGACATACTTCAATAGTTTCTGGTTCTTTGGAGTTAATGTGAGTGATCCTGTCATACTCCTTATCATGGAATGTGACAGTTTTAATGTTATCAAAGACACTGAGGAGGTGAGCCTGTGTAAGAAAAATAAATTAATATTCTGTAAGGAAACTTTTTAACAAGAAAATAACTACTCAAATAATAATTGTGAAACTAATAGTAACCCATGATACCATCAGTACTTTATTTAACAACAATTGAATAATCAGTTGAAAATTATTATGAATCAAGATAAGGAGAGATAGAGTGAGTACCAACAATGATAATGGGAATGAGATGGTTTGAGAGTCTTCAAATACAAATGAAATACTATCACTAACAGTGTACATGTACTAGTGTGAAGTGTATACCTGTATAGTGTGTGAGTCTGAAGCTTGTCCCAGTATCTCCAGTAGTGCTGGGTCAGACACAAAGAAGAACCGAGGAAAGATGAGCCTCTTCTTCTCAAGGTAGCCGGTTAATGATTTCTGGCAGAGCTCCAGCTGCTCCAGGAGGTGAGGCAGTAGCTGTCCCAGTGTCTCATCCCCCACACAGCACTGGACCACATTAGGAACCTCATGAGCTTTGGTCATTATCTTTATCCAGGACTTGTCTATACTTTGAAACCTTTTAGCTTCCTGTAGAGTGAGAATTAATAATTTCGATTGAAATAAATTCAAGTCTCCTATGCATTATAAGTATGTGTATATGCATGAGAAAAAATGGAGGGTCCTCTCCTAGTCTTTATTAGTAATATAAAGTTTGTAAAAATCCAAGTTTAATTAGAACCAGTTGAAACATTATATGTATGCTGTGCATGTATCAGAAACTGTAATAAAGTGAAAACAATAAATACATTAAGCATAAGGAGCTATTATTCAATTATTAACAATCACACAATAAGCTATACTGTAAACATTAAGCTGATTATTAAAATGATTACAAATATAGAGGAATCCTTCTCTATCAAATGTTAGTCCTATCGGATAGATGCTGTCTTTATCTCCAAAATGACGAATAAAGAGACCATCAGTAGTAAAGACTGAGATACAAGGAGAGGAATGAGAGCTCTCATCATTACTGCTAACATACACTAGACCAGTCCCTCCACTGTCTATTGCTATACCATAAGGACTCCTGAGTTGAGAATCATGACCACCAAACTCTGTTATAAAGGAACCCTGCGAACTAAACTTTTGAATTCTGTTATTGCCAGCATCAGTTACATAGACTAATCCCTTATTGTCAATGGCTATATCATAAGGATATAGAAACTGTCCATTAGCTGATCCTTCACAACCAAATGAGAATAAGAAGCTTAAACCAGGAGACAGGACCTGTACACGATGATTATACCAATCAGCAACATAAACGTGTCCAGTTATTGGAGAAATAGCTATACCATTCGGACCATCAAATTGTAATGGTCCATTGCCTTTTTCTCCTACCGATAGCACACAGTCTCCGCCCATGCTTATCTTCTGGATCCTGTGATTATCAGACACAAGAATGAAATTATCTGAAGTGACAGCTACCCCACAAGGACGAGAGAATTTCACACTCCCAGTTCCTTCGTTGACTCCAAACGTGTTCAGTTTCCTTCCTTCTCCATCCAGTAATGTTAAACTATTGTTGTAACTCTCAGTGACTATAATGACTCCATCATTACTGACAGCAACACCAAAAGGATGACTAACATCACTAATGGTGTGTACTGGAGACAGAGTATCAAGGAATAGATTGACTGGAATAAATATTAATGTATCTTGAAGCTCCAAATTGTACACTGTTACTTTAACAAGGTGAGGACCACTGGTTGATGGAATGAAACTCACCTGATACACTCCAGGATCAGTGCTGGTGGCAGTGACTGTAGTGTGAATGGGTTTATGGTCTTTACCAACTGGTACTAGGCTACACCTCAGAGAAGAGAGGGGAACACACAAAAGAGATGAATCTGGTGCCTCCATTGATAGTGAAAATGAAACCCATTTCTTGTGTACAATATTCGATATGATCACTTTAGCCTCCAGTACTGCATTATAAGAAACAGCTCCAATGTCTTCAAGTGATTTTAAACTATTACTGTTGTCTTTGATTAATTTGAGGTCATTCTCTTCAATTGGTGATAGCTCCTCCACATTGATCCCTCCAGTAACTTCACTCATACGCTCCATCATCTTTTTCTTAGACCTCAGGACTTGTTGAGGACTGCCTGTCTTCAGACTCTGTTCCACATAATCCTCAACATTCCTTAAAAGACTCAAACTTTTTTCTGCCTCTTTAATCTGCTCAGAAAGCACCTTTAGTTTATCATCAGTGACCCTCTTTGCCTGCTCAGTCAGTTTCCTCTCTGACTGATGAAGAACAGCAATCATTTCCTCTACCATTTCATGTATTTCTTCTAAAACTCCTTCTCCTCTCTCTCTGATCTCACCCTCTCTCTCCGCTAGAGCAGACAGGACCTTCTTGACTGATTCTTCTTTCTCCTTGACTGTCTTCAGTTGTTCATGTAAGGCCAGACAGTGTCCTTGATAGGAGTCAGATATTAATATATACCTGTGGTCTGTATGTGAACGAAGAGCACAATGGAGGCAAATGACAGCAGAACATGTTTCACAAAATATTTCCAAAGGTCTACCATGATCAGTACACATTGCTTCAATAGGTCCTTCTTGTACATCTGATAAAACCTTCTTCCTAATGTCCAGTAGATTGTTGATGGTGAATGAGTTATGAAAGGAAGCTACCCCTTCCTCAGGAACCTCATTATGATGACGACAAGTTGGACAAGAGAGGTAATAGGTCTCATTCTCTTTAAGTAAAGCCACTCCCTCTAAACAGGTATGGCAGAATGAGTGCAGGCAAGGTAAGGTCTTAGGATTGATGTAAAGATCAAGACAGACAGGGCAGGTGAGCTGTTCCTCCAGTTGATGTAACCCAATGGAAGAGAGACCAGCCATCAAGGGACTATACTAGAGGTGACCTGGCCTATAGCTACAGCTTAAACTAACACAATACAGGAAGTTATGATAGGACAATAATGAGGAATGAACATTATTCACTAAATGACCTTTTGCAAAATAGACAGTACATGTACATGTACATGTAGCTGTAGATAATGTGCAGTAAAATGAACAGCAGCTTACATTAGACTGCACTCAGAAATGACTATAATATACATTTTCTTATGTTGTGTAGAAAGTTAGAGCTGATTCTGATCATGGATTTTTATGACTTTGTAATAAAACATTTAATAAACATACCTGTACATTGTACTTACATGTACATATACAAAGACTATTGTTAATGTCACTAACTTTAGGCAGTTGCTTTGCTATGTCTCCTCCAACAAAGACAGCCTCCAGGTAAACCCAAAGGTTCTGAACCACGAGCCAGTTCTCTAATATCTCTGAGGCATTGGTGAGATTCTTGACCCACTTCTGAATATCAGGCTTGAAAGGAGCATTGTACCTGTATAATGGAGAACAGGATTTAGTGTGAAGTCAAATTTATGCTAAGTTTTAGAATTGCAAAAATTAAAATTTTATATTGCTATACGTGTACTAAGTCATGACAAGGCTTGCATATGCAAATTAAATTTTACTAATCATTCACATTAATCCTGTCTCATAAAATGTCACTGCAGTGTCATAGTAGCATGCAATGTTAGATCTGGAAGTAAATTTTAGGAGACCAAACTAACTAAAAATGGGAGACTGAAGGACCCCTAGGACTAAATATGAGAGACCAAAAGTCTCCTAAACTCCCTCTAGATCTAACAGTGATCCATTATTAATATTATTAATATTACTATTACTACAAGTATTTTATTATTATTATTATTATTATTATTATTATTATTATTATTATTATCATTATTATCATTATTATTATTATTATTATTATTATTAGTATTATTATTATTATTATTATTATTATTATTATTATTATTATTATTATTATTACAATTATTATTATTATTATTATTATTATTATTATTATTTCTTTACCTGTTAGACATGAGTGAGCTGAGGACCATTAGTGAGTCCTCCATTAGTGTCACAATCTCTGCAGTATCATCTCCTCTCAGCAGTAACTCCCCGCGAGTTTTAAAAGGAGCAAATGATAAATTATGAACTGCCCATTCAGCAATCACTTGCTTTAGTTTAGCTTCAATATCCTGCTCCTTCACTGCAGCAATACACACATCCTATGGAGTACATTCACTAGTGAAATATTATCAGCCTATTGTGCATAGTGGCATCAAATTGTGAGAGAAAAGGTTATCTTGCAGTAAAAAAACAATAAAAATAAATTGCTTATACTTGTACATGTAGCTTCCAAGCTAAACTTTTTTACATGTGCTGTATAAGTATCATCATTACAAATATAGATTCATTTCTCATGACTTGGAATTATTCCATAAAAATAAGGACATGAATACATGTACATATACATGTATAGTAGCAGATAACATAGTACGTGCATTTTAAAGCCACTCTAAGGAGAACAATAAAGCTCATATGACAAACAATTGGTCTATGCTATACACATCCTACAGTTTCCATCATGCACTAACAACTGATACACACACTAGTGTGGGACTAGCTCTCAATCCATGTACAGGTAAGAGGTCATTACTTCAATGTCCTCCATATTCTGCAGTAAAGGAGCCTCCATGACATTCCTAAGAGCAAAGCTCTCATTCTCAATATCAAAGGAGTGTTTAGTGATATCTTCAATCCTCTTCCAGTGCCTCTCCTTCATTGCTTTATCTGCCATTCTCTCCAGCAGTGGACAGATTGCATTGAAGTTATCAATCTTCTTTGTGAGGTCGTTGAATGCTTGCCACTCTTTAAGTCCTTTGGGTAGTTTCCTGCACTTGTTCTGAAAGTCTAACAGTTCGTTATTAATCTTCTCAATGTCAACCTAAAGGAATAAATTAATGTGACTGTATCACAATAATTATGTTGCTACACTACATTGTATGTGTACTTTTCAATTGAAGTGGGTATAAATGTTCACATAATTTTCAGCTCAAAGTCAGTGGTAATTTCCACTTACATGTAAAATAATTTGGAAGTCATGAAAAATTTAAACTTGATCAAAATCAGCTCAAAATTTTGACACAACATAAGTACATGTACTAACATTATGCATCAGGGAATTCTCTCCTAGTCAATTTTGCTAAAATTTGGTCCTTGAACTTGTACTACAGTACAGGCCAATTTTGGAACAACTTTAAAAATTGATGAAAATCTAATTTTGATCAGAATATGTATAAAGTACATAAATGCATTGTGTGTCCCTCCTATAGAGAGTACCTCAGTCCAGAGTATGTCATAGTATCCATCCACACTGTCCATCACTGCATTGTAGAGTCCATAGAGCTTTTGAAGTAAGTTGAGTTCCTTCCTTATATCAGCGAGTGATGAGTAATCTGTTATTGGGAGACCAAAGAGATCTTCACCTCCTGAATAGGTCTGAAACTTCCTCCACAAGTCATCAAACTGGCTCTACATTATTATTAAAGGAACAATCAATTAAAATAACATTATCGTACATGCAATACAAATACTGATGAAATCTGATGACAAAATTTCAATACTTCATTAAATTTTATATTGTAGAATGTACATGTACATATACAGTTACTATAGGCCCAATGGTTACTTACTTGAAATATCACAAGTCTGTCTGATGCTTCTCTAGGAGGTATACCAATCACCATTGGACCTTTCTATAAATGTATACAAATACAGGTAATTATAATAGTAAACTGACATACTTCAGTATAGTCCTTAGTGAATGATGCTACAGTGACTCTAAACTCCTTCACACTCTCCTCTAGACTTGTCTTAAACTTTGGCTGTAGCTCCAGTAGTTCAGTCAGTAGTACTGATATCTGGTTATTCAGTTTCTGCCAGAGGTACCTCAGAGTATCAACCCTCTCCACCTCCTCATGACTCACTGATATACCATACCTTTGCAACAGAGTGTAACACTCCTGAATAAACAATAATGTTAGTAAAGTAAGTTATTATACATGAACATGTCATGAATTAAAATTATCATGAGGATAAAGTTTTACAACACTGTAATATTGAAATTCAAATGTATGTGATCACATAAACTTTGTGATTCTTTAATTTCACAAAGGGCCCATAAAATACAAAAATTGCTACAATTGATCATCAAGTACTTATACATGTAATTACTAGTACTCTCCTACCTCAATTGGTCCGAGGCACATGTCAATCCTAATCTCATTCTCTCTGATCTCCTTTAAAGTTCCCATGACACTCCTCACATCATCAAGATCCTTCAGTGGATGAGAGAGCATCTTCCCCCACTCCTCTATAGACACAAACACTCTATCCATTGTTGTCTGATAGTTTTGGCTCATTATTCGTCCATAGCAGACTCTCCATTGCTTGGCCTCAGTCACCAGCATCACCTTAAGCTGGTCAGTGTGGAGGCTAAGAGCTCCTGCTTCTTGAATGTCAGGCTCAAGCTGTACCACCTCCTCAAGCTGCTGGAAGGAATGCATCTCCTGCTGGTAGTCGCTCACGTTTGGATCAGACTCGGAAAATTTCAAGACTCTCTCGTCCCTGTCAATGGCCCATAGCAACTCATATTTGTTAAACTGGTCAATGGTTGACTGGACAATGTTCTTTGTAGAGTTGAGGCAGGTATTGAGGACAGATACTAGTTTATTGACCTCCTTGTGTTCAGACACAGCATGATAGTATGTCTTGAGTTGAGTCAGTGATGAAACAGGTTCCATTTTTATTAAAGAATGAACCGAGACACTACTTTTAATGATATCCAACCTCTCCTGCCCCCAGCAGTGAACACTCTTCATAACGGAGAGGATCATATTCACAGCCTGATTCATGGACTGTTGTATTTCATCAAGACTTGGTCTGATCACAAGGCAAGGTAGTGAGAGGATTATATCTGCTATAAAGAGAGGATGATGCTCTTTCTTTTCCTCTGCAGAAAATTCCGTGTAAGACAAAGTGCTAGTGAAGGCAACACGCCTACGAAGGTTCTCTAGAGTACTCCTGTAGAACTGAATAAAGGCATCAATATTCAACTGTTGGTAGTAGTCGTAGAGCATGTCAGCCTCTTGTCGCAGTTTCTGCTTTTGTTCCAGTTTCCTCTTTAGCGTTACTGCCCCAGGGGCCATCATATCTTCTGGTTGATCTTGTTTCAAAGACTCGTTCATAGGTAGCAGCAAATTGATCAATTCAAGGACAGCATTCTCTACTATCAGGTTCTTGTTCTCAAGGCTCAGAGCAGCTTTTCGACAAAGTTCTTCGGTTGTTTTGAGAAACATCTCAACAGAAATGACCTCATGGGAAGGAACATCAGTCAATGGAACCAGCTGTATCTGAGCAAAGACCTCCATGATCCGGTTATTGTGAATCCCTAAGGCAGAGTCAATGAGGTACTCCAGTGAGGCTATTGCTTTATTAGCGGAGAGGAGGAACCCCTCTAGATTAATTGAAGTCCAGCGGAGGATACTCATACCAGGACTAAGGGCAATGTTAGTCTCTTCAATGTGAGGGACCATCAGGACAGCAAACAGCTCAGGGATCTTATCAAGGACCCTGTTATACTCATTCACCAAATGCTACACAATAAAGACACAAGTAACTAAACATGTAACGTAACATGTACATGTATTATAGTGGGAATATTTAAGAGTGCTTAATATTGGTGATTCTGCGACTGCAATGACCATGTACATGTATTGGTCCCAGTAAATTTGTAGTGATCATGTGTACATGTAAATAATAAAAAAATCGAGTGGCTTACACACATACACATACAGTATATGTACTTTGTCAAATTTATCATTATCTGCCAATTACCAAGATACAACTTCCCCACAATACAGTAGCAAAATGATAATTTTAAGCAGCCAATGAAACTGGCCAGTAACATACATGTACATGTACATTGCTTTACCTGTACAGAGTCATAATTAGCTAATATGCTCTTCTTCCTGAGGTAGAGGCTAGTCATGTCACCAGGTACTTCAATATCCATTGTGTTTAGTATCTGGACCTCTCGAAGAAACTCGTTGATCTGTGGATCAAAATTAACAAAGAGTTGACCTTGATTCCTTATAAGGACGGTAGAGGTGAGAGCAGTCCTTATTGAAGGAAGCTTCTCAGTCCATAGCTGAATGTGGAGGAGCTCATACTCGACCAGGACCTGGGCTAATCTATTGTATGATTTGATGACACGCCTACACTCAGACTGGCCAATGAGTCCAGGCAGTGTTTGAAACCCTTTTATAGGTTTAGTGATCTTCTGATACAACTGTCTGCTCCAGGCAATACGGCCAGCTACAGGAGGTATGTTCCTCGCTATTGGAGGACTTGACTTCTTATTGTTGTACTCGGACTGGACCTGCTGTAGCTCTCTCTGGAAGCACTGAAGGATCACTGGGTACTTAGTGGAGACATCAACTGCTGGTATCTTCAATCTGTTAACACAATGAGAGCAAATAATATTAACTGTATACAAGTAGCTGGTGATTTCAAAGGTGGTAAAATAAAATTATGGTTCAAAACGGTGGTTTTAAATGTACATGTACATGTAATTTTAATGACCATCAAAAAAATTAATACATTGTAACTTGACAATGTTAGCCATTAATGATTATACCTGCCGAATCTCCAAGCAGCTTCTATTGCCAGTTGTGTAGTAGAACAACGATTGAAATGATCAGTCATCAGTTGAACAAGCTGACCCTGTAATGAATGAGGAATATTAATAAAGAACATGTGTACATGTACATGTACTGTACATGTATTATCATTTAGTTAGTAAGAGATACTTTTGCAGCTATAATGCAATAAACTAGACAAACACATAAGATATACATGTACATGTATGTAAGAGCCAAGGGAAATGGTTTAAACATGTACATGTACATTGTACTTCAAGTTACAGTTTGTTATTACATGCGCAGTAATGGCTATACAGTACATGTACATGTATTAATTACATACGTTGATGTCCGTTAGTTGTCTCTTAAAGTCCTCATAGTCTCCATCAAACTCAGTCCTTCGTTGATCCAACACGTCATAAGACTTCTTCTTAAGAGAAGAGATCAATAGACTGAAGCGAGAGTGAAGCTGATCGATCCCCTCAATGTGAGACAGGCCCATTGTTGAATAGGTACCAATCGTACTGAAGAGCTCGTTGAGTTTCTCAAGTCGCTTCACGAAGTTATTAAATTTTCCAAAAATGTACATTTCGGAAAAGTCAAAGGGTCTTTCTTCAGGATGATCTTCAAGACGTCTTTTGGTCTTTTGGAAGGACTGCTGGTACTCATCATTGAGTCTGATACACTGATTCATTTTATGAACTACTGCCTCTCTCTCCTGCTCCCAAACCTAATGATTAATAATTAATAATAATCATCGATTGTTTCATTAATAATGTGTGCTAAAGTACATGTACATGTATAGACTAGCCTCTATATAATGGACACTGTGTCTCTATTATACAGAGGTGTCCTTTATGTGGAGGTTATTTTATACAGTAAGGAATGTAATTGGTACACTAGGTGCTGTCCATTAAATGGAGGTGTACGCTATAGAGAGTGTCCATTAAGAGAGACTATACTGTACATGTAAATCAGAAAATGATTGCATAGTACATGTACATTGACTGTTACTGTACATGTGCATGTACACAGGAATTCACATGTACATGTACGTTAGTTTGTGGTAAAAAATTGTACATGTACATGCATAAATACTACAACCATACACTTTTATAAAAAATTAGACTACACGTAGTTTTATGAATGAAATTATTACATGTACATGTAAAATTAATAACAAAATAAAGTATATCAGTTTAATTTAAGCATTGCAATTGCTGTTCCATGATTAATACATTGTACATTTATTCATCATTCACCTTATGGTATCCATTGTCTGTGATGTGAGCCTTACAAGCGTTGATCATCTGATTGGTGACTTTAACAAATAAAGCAGTCATGTGCTCTGAGGTATTGTAATATCTTGAGTAACTGTTGATCATCCTGATAGCATTCATTAGACCAGGAATAGCATCAAGCATGCTCACCTAATGGACCAACAAATACAAACATGAAATGAGAATCTATTCTGTACAACGAATTTAATGGTTTTATAATTGAAGTACATTAACCATTAGTACTACATGAAGATAAAACACTGTACATATGTAAAAGTACTTACCGGGTTACATTTGTACAATGGTTCACAGTATTTCTCTAACGTGTAAAGAAACTTGACATTGTCTTTTGCCTCATTAGTGAAATCAGTTATCTGCAAATCAAGCTCCTTCCAAGTCTACAAAGAAAAACAATTTTAATGTATTTTCAGATTAATTACAGTATGACTATTTGTTTTGAATATTTTAAAGATCAACATCACATAAGTACATTCCAAGACAGCTACCAATACATGTATATAAACTTCACCCTACAGCTGTACATGTACATGTACATGTAACGTAAGAGTACATTTAGAAAGTGTAAAACGGCCCTACATAGTTCAAGATTATCACTACTTCCACATGATTTCATTAGCTCCATATATGGTAACAAACTAAACCTATACTCTCTCATGTTGTACTGGGCCCGGTGTGTAGTCACAAGTTAATTTTAATATCAAAATGGATGCCAATTCTTACATAGCAGATACACTAGTCTCGTAACTATAGATACAAGTACATGTACTTGTGATAAAGTCTAACAATGGTATCAGTGTATCAGAAATGTAAGGATTCTAGTCTAAAGGCCATATCTTGCTTTTAAAGTAAGCCCTTTACTTATTCAAGCAATTCTTCTCATACTTCTTAGTCACTCCATCATGTGATGGTTCACTGGAGCCTCTGGGTCTTTCTCTACCGCCTCAAGTTGGTGTATCTCTCGTATCAATACTCGCAGCTCTTGTATTACCACTGGCTCCAGCTCTTTTGATTCTGTGAAACCGTTCTCACCAGCCATGCTTACACACGTGACAAAAGGTGTGGTTGGGCTATTAATTAACACGCCCATTTTAATGACTGATCACTGCAGAGCTGCTATCTAAACATCTTAGGGTTGAGGATTCTGAGCTATTAGACTACTATCAAGAGTGGACTATGCATTCTTGCTATCACACTATAAGTAACTATAATCATGATGCTAGTTTCAATTATTATGACATTGAGTATAATGAAGTTTAAACCTGCTTTTCAACACAATTACAATTAGATTAATGTAGTTTATATTTACTCACTTTCAGCACTTTGGATTTGGCTCCTATTAATATATTAACAATAGTTTTACACTCTGAGCTCTTTACGCAGGCAGTGAGTGAATCAAAACGAGCTAGTCGTTTCTTCCAGTGATCAAGCTCAGCCTTTGGGCCCACATCATCAGCTTCCTTCCTCATTTGCTCTGACTCTGTTAGAATCTGAAACATTAAAATTGATTAAAACAATCAGTACAATACCTGAGAAATGTAAGTATTGAAATACTGTATAATTTCACTAAAAATTGGAGTGTTAAAATTTAGCCAACTTGATTCCAAATCAATCAAAATTTTAGCAAAATTTCATTTTGGCTATGTATATGCTGCTACGGGCCCTATCAATGGAAACTAAAGTTTTTTTTGCAAATTCTCAATGGGCTTCAATTGTTAGTCCACTAAACTTTCTATAACTATACACTACAGTTTGTTGAAATTTTTACAATAAAAATTCACAAAAATTACATCACTCATTATAATTACATGTGCCACATCTACTAGTACTGACACAGTCTTATTACATTAAAATTAAATCAAGCATGCATAATTTTCTAAAGCATACATTACCAGATTAATGGTATATATATACATCTACACATTGTACTTCTTTGCAGTATACCTGTTCAATTTCATGACACCATTTCATAGCAATATTCTCAGCAGCCACAACAATATCCTGATTATTCATTGATGATAGGATTTCTGATGATGATAATGTCATCAATTTCAACAGTTTCTCATTTTCAATGCGTGATAGTTTCACTGCATCTGCCACACTAGCTTGAGCGTTAGCTAAAACTCCAACGAATGAGGACAATTTCCCAAGGAATTGCTGTTTGACTTGCTGAGCTTCAATTCCTGAGAGGTCTCCCCATTTTTCATTTCTTTCCAGAGCTGGGATAAAGACAAGGTCAAGCAGTCCCTTAATAGCACCAAGCAATCCTTCACCATTGGAGTCCAGCATACCAAAGTACACCTCCTATAAATAATATTAAAATTATTAATATTATTATTTCACTTTATGTTTTGCATATTAAGGGACTCATAATTGCATATCAAATCTGCAAAAATCAATGATTTTTATGATTTTTTGAATGGCAAAGAGTTCCAGAAATATTGTATTATTTAGTGTGGCAGTAATATTTCTATCATATTGTGCTAACCTGATGAATGTTGAGCATTGTAATTGGCTTTGATGAGTTTGGTCTGACAAAGAACATACAGCAGCCAGAGTAAGGGTCTTTGGTGCCATCAGTAACCCATAGACACTTCTCCTTTGTACCTAATGATAAATACTATTATAATCCTTGATTGCACTATGCAGTATTGTAATGAGAGTATGGACATAATGGCTTTGGTAAAAGATAGCTCTGTTATATAAAGGTGTCCTATGGAGATTTTTTAGTAATGAATGTAATTGGTACATTCGGTGCTATTACATAGTTATAATCTATTATGGTTGAATGGAGGTGCATGCTATAAAGAGTGTCCATTAAGAGAGACTATACATGCACTGTACAGTATCAGTAGTGACAAACCTCCTGTTCCTTCTTCAGGCTTAGTTTCCTTGTAAAAGAATATCAGGGCACTCCGACCACCTTGAGCAAAGAAGCTGTCGAAAGCATTTAGCTGCAATAGCAACAATAAATTACAAGACAGCTGATTGAAGGAGCTGCTCACCTGATCTCCATCAAGCATGAAGTCTTCAGCTTCATCCATAGTAAGGCCCAGTCTTTCTGCTATCGTTGATAATAAGAATTCATGTCTGCCGTCCATTCTAGCTCTTTTCTGCTCTCTCTCTTCTCTTGATCTTATCTAATCAGATAAAATGATCATAATCCTGCAGCCTCTGTATATAGTGCTGTGTACTTACCTGTTGCTCTTTAATTGCTTCAGTATTGACTGTTTGTAGTCGTCCCCTTTGTCTGTTTTCCCTTCTAGCATGGCGGCGAATTGAAGGCTCTTTCCCTCCAGCTCCAGTTGACATGTTGTCTCTTTGACTGTTTTCAAAGTTTACACCTCTTGCTAAACTTCAAGTCTCAGCCCCACCCTTGAATCTGCAGCATCTACTGAGCATGCGCACCAGAGCAGTTATTTAAAATTCATAGCCAGAGCATTGAGACATAATTAATTATAGTTGAGGTTGCAAAACCAGCCCCACCCCCATTATTTACTACCAACTGAAATTAAAAAACCGTGGTTTTTCAAAGAATGTCAAAGCAGGGTGCTTACCAGCGGGTACCAGTGGCTGGGGATTCGGAAGAGGAAGAAGAAGTGACTCTCTTTGACAAGAGGTTCGGTGAGGGAGTCTACGAGGAGAACGTTGAGTTGATATTCAGACAAAGGAAAGGTGGCAAGCTCCAGAGAGGTTTCCAGGAACAATACCAGCAGCAAATATTTAACAAGAGAAGCATCACTTGTGGAGCAGTTGTACTACTAGCACTACTGGTAGCTGTATTGATCGGATACACTGCCTGGAGGATACAAGCAAACAAGGTTTTAATAGGAAACACTACTGCTAGTACACCTGGTCCATCAGCTCCTACTCCATCAGGTAATGATGAATTGACTCTTATCACTGGAACTAATGAGAATGATCCTAACAGTTGGAGAGTTGTTATGGAAGGAGGCATGACTGAGTTGAGCATGATCCTACATGATATTAACAAAGATGGGACTCCTGATATTATTATCAATAATGTCACTGATTCTTATGACTCTGCTGGATATGACGGTTGTCAAGACCAGCCTGATAAATGTCTAGAGACTAAAGGTTTCTCCCCATGTCAGGTTCGGCTCCTTGCTTTTGACGGTAGATCTAGTGCCATATTGTGGAATGAGTGGGCTCTATTTGAATCATTTGCTTCAAATTGTAGGACAGACCTCAATAAAGATGGCCAGTCTGATTGCATCTTTGCCGGTAGAGGAGGTAGCCTTGCAGCATTTGATCTGTTCCACAAGGAGCTACTGTGGGTTGTTGATCCAGCCATTACTGTTCCTCCATATAACTACTATTATCCATTGATTACTAAGGATTTTGATAAAGATGGTGTCCCTGATATTATAGTGACTCATGGAGGAGATCCATTTTACTCTGACACTGAAAAGAAGCGCACTCCTGGTTTCCTAGCTGTTATTTCAGGAGCAACAGGACAGGGTCTCTCCCGTAGGATAATAATTCCTGATAATCATGAGACATATAGCTCACCTGTACTCTATAGATCCAGTGATAATATTGAACTGGTTCTGTTTGGGTCTGGAGGTGAAACTATACCAGGATCACTGTGGGCTCTGACACTGAGTAGCTTAGAGGATCATGTGGCAAGTTACAAGAAGGAAACCTCTTACACTGTTAATAAAGTATACAAGAATTTTGTGTGTTACACTAAGGAACAGTTAACAAAACTGAGACCCAAACTTATCCGTGGGATATACTCTACCTCAAAACATGAGGAGTGGATGAAAGCCTGTCCAGTACTAGCTGGTGGTGTTAGTCCAATTTGGAATGTATTCGGATTATGTGTTTATGAGCTGATACCTGCTGGTGTGTCTGGTACTATCCTACCTCCAGTAATAGCTGATGTGAACAATGACAATCATTTGGATCTATTAGTGTCTCAGTTCAATGATCACACACTGCTTTATGATGGAGCAAGTGGACTAATAACTTGGGATCATTACTCACCAGACACACAAACATACAGGTACTTAATAGTAATAGTAATGTATTTGTATTTGCTTCAATTTTTAATGGAAAATAACGTGTTCATAATGTTAAAATGTTATATTTATTTTATTTTTAGTATCCCTGGTCCTTTGTATTACAATGATGATGACACACTGGACTTTGTAGCTCGTTTTAACAAAGGGAGGTGGATGAATTATGAGTACTCTTACATGACAGTCCTTGATGGGAGGAATGGTGATATCCTCTGGCGTATTAACTGCTCACAGGCAGCAATGTCATCACCAGTCACTGTTCATAGCAAGACTAGAGGAGATGATGGTTTCCTGTTTCTTGGAATCGGTTGTGGTAAAATGATTGATGATATCATTAATTCTGGTGAACGATCCTCTCATTCTCCAAATGATGGTAGGAGTAAGAGATCCGCACAGTGTCCAGTGAAACACTTTGAAAGAGATAATGATAGATGTGTCTTTAACCCTCTTGATGTTCTATTGCATTCTCGTCAAGAAAGGCATGGTAATGATGATGGATTGCTCCAAGGTTCCGGTGATAATGATGTCAGAATCCCTCCTCAGGAAAACATGATTGACATTGACTTCAGTGAGTATTATCCTGATGATCTATGGGAGAGCAATGGACCAATGGATATCTTTCCTGATCCTGATGAGAGCCCAGAGTCTTTCATGAAGGATTACTGTGGATATGATCCTGATCTGTTGCAAGCTAATATTTACTTCTTGAACAGGAAATTAATAGAATCACTAACTGATGTTATACCAGTTATGTCCTTTGATACTTACATATACAGTAAGTTGCTTAAAAACAATTTTCCTGATTCATATACATGTTGTTATGTTGGTAGAAAGTTTCAGTTGATTCCAATTAAGTTTGGATTTTTTGCAAATTTAATTCTAAAAAATTTCGCTTATCTTTAATAAGTCATTGCTGGCCAAGATACATTCAAAAAAATAATGTCCAAAAATTTTTTACTCATCATTCACAATGATTTTGTACCACAAAAATTATGGCATTTTTTCGGAACAATTTTCATTATTATTTTTGTTCGTAGAGTTAAAGTTTATTTTAATTGTTAGAGGTATCTCATAAAGACTTGAAGAAACATCATGGTGAAAACAAGGGACCAACTGCAAGTGATACTGGAGAGCAATCAATGGAGGACATTGAACTAATGATGATAAAGAAACTAATGAAAGACCGCAAGGGACTTCGTTGTGCTCACGTAATGGCCCCTGTACTATCAGCAGGGACTCCTGTTATAACTGACTCTGATGGAGATGGTAAAGTTGAAGCTATTGTGTCCCTTACTTATACAGCAGTACCTAGTCCTTATAGTGTAAAAGTACTGGACTTCATTCATCCACCTAAACTTATTGTGCAGAGTTTGACTATTGAGAATAGACTGAAGGCTATTTATGGGACTCAGGTACAAGGAGTATCATCTGACTACTGGCCAATGGATAAACAACCTTGGACTGAATATATGGGGAGCAATGGTAATGGGGTTTATGTGAAGCATCATAAATGATAATAACATGAAGTAACTAATGATAGTACTGACAGTAATAATGATGTAATAACAATAATAAAACAATCCTCTGTGATACATGTATTGATATTTTCGTACTCTTATTTTTGTATTAATGCTTTTGTTTTAAAAACTAGAATTTAATTAAAAGTTTCAGGTTGAATTAACAACAATGATACATAGGATGATTGTAGTATTGATGAGATAGTCATTATATGGGGCAGAGCAGATGATGGAAAGCGAATATCTACACTGTATAAAATTGATGGTATTGCTATATTGATGTTGAAATTTTTCTGTGTGTAGTACAGAAAGTCGTTTGATGAACTGTGTAGCAACTGGTCCATAGCCACCGGACGATGAAAAAACCAGAGGGAAAAGGTAGAATAGTACAGGGACTTTGTATGATTTGGAGTAATTTAAAAATCATAAAAAATCCAAACTAGATCGGAATCCGCTCAAACTTTCTACACAACATAAGTACATGTATATGCAACAGAAAATGTAACAAAATCAAGGAGTATTTTACTTGTCAATTTTGGTGAAATTTGACAAAAATCCCTGTACTAATAGTACAGGGACTTTTGTCCGATTTTGAAGCAACTTCAAAAAATCATAAACGATCAAAACTTGATTGGAATTAGCAAACTTTCTACACGACATAAGAGCATCTAGGATTGGCCAAAGCAGACAATACTGGGAACACCCACCAATCTCCTTAATTAATCATAAACAGTGTTTACACAGCATAAAGTATTATTGAACAATAATTATTAATTATAATTATAGCACTAATAATTATTATTGTGGTCTTACTAACCCAAAGCAAGGATCAGAATATATATTTAAATGTTAACACATCCATCAGTCAGGCCTGCAGCTGTTTGATATTGTGTAGAAGATCATTCAAAGCTAACTTCTTAGCATCTTCTTCTAAAGGAGAGGACCCATGGCCTACAACAGGCATCTTGTTAGTATCATATCCAGTATTGTTAGTGAATCCGTCACCTACAGTGCTGTGAGCAAGACACAGGTACTGCATTGTTGAGGGATCATCTTTATCCACAGGATCTGTCTCCTGAACAATAAACTGAGGTGTGCTGCAATTATATGACATTATAATGTCAGTCAGATCCTCAATACTAGCATACTCCATAGACTCCTCCCTGTCTACTCTCAACGTCTTCATAACAGACAGGTCTAGATGCTCCACCTTCTCCCCCTCCTCCAGTTTCTCCAATAGATGAAGTACTTTCGTTAATTTTTCAATTACTTTACCAGCTGCTTCCATTTCAGCAGATTTGACTGTTTTTCCAAACCCTTTGTCCTCTGCTACTAACTCATCTTCACTGTCCATCACGCGACACTTGACAGTGTAATCCATGGAATGGGATGGTCCTGTCTGTGATACCTTTATGTATTTTGGTATTTCAAAGCCGTTTCGCTGACAGAGTTCTTGTAGCTTGTTCTTATTGTTACCTTCAACCACAGGAGAGGGAGGGGGAGTCTCAGTCTCTCCTGGAGTCAGTGCAATGGTTTCATGCTGAGGGTTTTCAGTTTTTAGGAAGTCAAAGACCTTCTTTGCTGCTTCTATTTCTGCCACCTTCTTAGAGTTCCCAACCCCCACTCCCTCCCCAATGAGCTCTTCATAACACCGATACACAGTACACTTTATCTCAAACTGGAGCTGGTGAGCTGGGCCTGTAGCTCTTAGTACAGAATACGATGGTATACCCAAACCTTTTTTCTGGCAATACTCTTGAAGGTGTACTTTATAATTAGGTCCTTCTGGTGTCTTTGGTGAAGGTATAGCCTCTAAATCAGTAGCTTCTACCTCCTCATCAGTTATTTTCGTCATTATGTCTTGGGCAGCTTTCATTTTGGCCTCTTTCTTATTCTTCCCTTCTCCTCTACCAGTTACTGGCGCTCTACCACTATCCTGCCCACGTACTGTCAGTGTACATACATACAGCCTATAGTGTGAGGGACCCGTATATTCATAGTTCTCCTCTATTTTCAGTCGATTCTTGGTACAGTAGCCATTCAAATCTACCATAGCATTGGAAGCCATTTTAGAATATTCTTTTGACCACTCCCCCTTTGCTTTGTTGACACACCCACTGACTCTTGATGGCTCAGATAGAGTTTGACGAGGGAACTGGTACCTTTCCTTATTTCATAGTCCTTCTCTACGGGGTATTCCTGCTAGTTATAACTTACTTCCTTTGGCCTAAGAGCAAGAAAAGTGAATTGAATTAGTACTGTATTGTGGGCTTTAATTAGAATATTAATGTTATTGTTAGGAGATGACAGAGGGAGTGAGTGCCAGTGTGGGCCATGTTGCCAGAAAAGAAATAAAGTGGAGAAGAGACGGACTGTAGATAAACTATTTAAAATAATACGGTAAATATTGATGATGTCATTTATATCATTTACCATATATATAGCAAAAAAATTTGTGGCCCAAAAGTTGCGTGGATTTTGCATTAAAAAAATTCACAGAATAAAATCTGTGAAAATTGATTCAATATGGTTCAAAATGGCTGAAAAGTAGAAAACTGCAAAAATTAAAGCCACAAAATTGAATTTTTGAAATGATTTGTTGAATTTTGGACCACGAATATTTTCTGCTATACGGTATTGCATTAGTATGGGTCATGTACAGTAATGATTGTCTATAGTTATCAGTTAGTCTCTTGTTTGTTTGTTTGTTTGTTAGTTATTTAGTATTATTGGTGTGCTGGTTGTTCTTACTTTGGTTGATTTATTGGGCAGTGACACAAGAGCCAGTTGGTGAATCTGAAGAATGGGATCCATTTAAAATATTAGGGATTGACAGGGTAGACAGTATCATAATATCCAGCTGTCTTTAATGGATCAGTTCTTTAGGGAGCTACTGTATCTCAGATCAAGAAGCAGTACAGGCTATTGAGTATGACCCATCATCCTGATAAAGGAGGGGATCCAGAGGTATTCACTAAAATAGCTAAAGCTTACGAAGCGTAAGTCCTCCATAAAGAGACTGGGATATACTACACATTATCACTTGTACATGTATAAAGTAATGATTGGGCCTGTATTGTTTGATGTAGTTTGACTCAAGAAGAGGCTAGGGAGAATTGGGAGAAGTATGGTAACCCAGATGGACCAAGAGCTGCTTCATTTGGTATAGCACTGCCCTCTTGGATTGTTGATAAGAATAACTCGTTGTGGGTGGGTGTGGTCACTTTAATTACTAGTTATTAATAGTTATTAATAGGTTCTAGGTGGGTATGTGTTGGTATTCATTGTCGGACTCCCTATCATTGTTGTGAGTTATCATTAGTGTTGTCATGGTTACGGTTATGCCCCGCCCCTCAGGGTAGTTGGTGGTATAAATCAGTGAAGTATGGTAGCACTAATATATTGATACATACGAGTAAACTATATTTCCACCTGCTGTCCAGAGCCAAGACTATGCCTGTACTAAGTGAGAATGAATTAATGATGATGATGATTCATATACTTATACACAGGAGTGTTGATGATCCTAGCTACAGCAGTTGAGTTCTCTCCCAGTAATCAGGCTGGAGTGAAGAACAGACCCAGTGATGATATATACTTGAATGAGCTGGTAAAGAAACTAGAACACACTATGAGAGTGGATACCAGGGAGCAACCCTTCTGTCAGACCTACGTAGCTAAAGCAAGACTGCTTATACACGCCTACTTTGAGCGGATTCCATTGCAAGACCCTGGACTGAAACAAGGTACTAATGTACATGTACATGTACATGTACTTACATTATGACCTTCAACAGATCAAGATGCTATTGTGAAGTATTGTCCATTCCTAATTAATGAGATGATGAATATATTAACTCAAGTCTGGCTCTATTCTAAGTACATGAACAAACCAAAGACGTCTAGAAGTAAGGGCCACACCTCTTGGTAGCTTTAGAAAGAGAGAGGATGATTAGTTATTGGTTTAAGTTTTGTTTTATTTGGTAAACATGGAGAGTTTCTTTAATGAATGTTTCAAACTCGTTAACCAGCAGCTGTCCCATTTATTGCAGGGATACCAGAGCCTTCCCTTGATATGTATGAGAATATAATGCTGATCAGTCAGATAATGGTACAGGCAATGTGGAGACCTTTTGAAACCCTGGAGCAACTCCCTCATATTAATGACCGGAAGATATTCTATCATAAAAAGGTGCTTATAATTAATTAATTAATTAATTAATAATGTGTTGTCTTCTAACAGCACAGGTTGTCTAGTGTTGAAGATTTTGCGAAATTGAGAAACGAAGAGAGGAGGTAGTTTCAATGCTAACAATACTTGTACTTGTATGGTTTCACACAAGGCGCCTCCTTAAGAACCTATCAGACGAAGAATATCAAGATATTATGATATTTTGTGAAAATTTCCCACACATTGAAATGAATGTAGAAACTGGAGGTGAGTAGCCACACCCACATTAATTAATGTCTATGAATATTAATTAGTTGAAGATGACGAAGACACTAGTTTAATATCAGCTGGTTCCTATGTCACTATAAAAGTTACCTTAATAAGAACCGGATTATTAGTGAGGGGGAGGGAGGGAGGGGCCATCATTAATTAAGTTGTTATAGGATTATTACGGAACCTCTTCTCGTGATAAAGATTCAGGATCAACTCATAATGACTCGAATATTGACAAAGTTAATTAATGTAACTAATTCATTATTCATTGACCATTGTCTCTGTAGGACACCGAGACTTTATCTTTTAGTGACAAACCAAATGAAGGTAGTGTCGTCAAAGTAGCCTCGCCCACTGGCAAAAATAAACAACAAAAAATTAAAAAGAAAAACAAACAAACGAAAGGAGGCGGAGCTGGAAAGAAAAAGCAAACAAATACACAAAAGCAAAAAGTAATTAGCACTATTTGTAGGGATGTGGCTAACCACACCCTTCCATTAATATTTAGAGTGAACCAGTCACTAATGTTAAAAAGGAAAGTACAGACGATACCAAAGAAGGTAATAATTGAATATTAATAATAATTATTATTAGGCCACACCTCCTAGAGGATAATGAATATGATAATGAGGATACACTTGATGATGAAGAGAGAGAATGGAAGGAGCTTCAGAAATCAGTCAAGAAAGAGAGAGAGCAGCAGAAGAATCTAGTCAATACGAGTCACCTAGTCCACGCTCCTTACTTCCCAGCAGTGAGGAACCAGCTGCACAACATACCACCATCACATGTGTATACGTTTCATGTATATGTATCAGGAAATGTAATTATAATGGAGAATTCTCTTCTATTCATTTTTGGAAAAGTTTGACCAAAATCCTTGTACTATAGTACTGGGACTTTGGTAGGACACTTCAAAAATTCACTTAATGTGTGTATAAGAATTAGCTTGTGTACATGCAATGTTGTGTTATTATTGTTAGGACAAACACGAGTTATGGTGGGTCTATGTAGCACAGAAGAGAACAAAGTCAATAGTTATACCACCAGAACGTGTCACTGGATTGATTGACAGGAAAGAAGTAATAATAATAACAACAACAACAATAATAATAATAATAATAATAATAATAATAATAATAGTTATTGGTTCATATTGTTGATCATTGTTTGGTAGGTAAATCTGAAGACGGTAATGGAAAGGAAAGGTCTATACAGATACACTGTGTATGTGACCTCTGACTCCTACATGAACTACACTGTACAGCAAGATATCACTGTATGTCACTATTAATAGTATCAACATTAAATATAGTAATAATTATGATTAATGTGTTCTATAAATAGATCAAGGTGCATGAGCAGAAGGAGGTGTCAGGTAAAGAGCAATGGAAGGACCTTGAGAAAGAGGAGGAGGAGGAGGACATGATTGAAGAGAGTGTCACTGAATCTGATACTGATGATGATGACAATAGCGACTAGAAATTATTTAAACTGTATTATTATTTAATCTCTAATAAATGAAGTATTTTTGATACGATTATTAAACAAATTCCACACCAAACTGGAGTACCAATTGCACCTGCAAATTACAATATTAATGTTCTATTAATAGTAACACTACCAGTTATTCCTGTAGGATAGGACAGTATTCTTGATAGAGGCCAGAATGCCTGAGGCTGTAACCTAGCAACAGGATACCACCTATAACTTAATACAACACTGATACGTCCTAACTCCTGCAATTAAATAATAATAATAATAATAATAATAATAATAATAATAAGTGGATTAATAACTCACTATAACGATGAATAATATAATGGAGCATATCTTGGTAATCCGTGATACTTTTGAACTAATTCTTGATCCTAATTATAATCACAGTCCTCATTAATTAACATTAGATTAGATTACTGATATCGTTAAGAGTAGTTGCTTTTTTCGTCTTCTCATTCCAAAGATGAACACGTTCAGCCTACAGTAGCGGCAGGTATAATATATATCTGATCTGAGAAGATCAGGTTTAGCTTACCATATCTGTTTGGGCTTCAACTTCATCAGTTAGTATCTTAATATCTTTCTCAAGTACTAACAATCTATTATAATCTTCTTGCATGATAAAACTTGAGATCTAAAACATAAAACAACACTGAATATTAATTACAATATTATTACAATTACTCACTAATTTGGTTGCTGGTCTCTTCAATCTATGCAATATTGATACTGTCACACAGGTGACCAGTATAAGTAGTGCCACCTGCTCATCTACATCAATCAATGGAGACATCACCTATTGTAAGAAGGAATCAGTGCTAAAGAGTCATGATAGTCCGAGTGATAGTCATTGAACTTGTATATATACATATATGCAGGGACATTGCTCTGTTGTCAATTAGGTGAAAATATTCAGTAATTTTCTACTTACCATGATACAGAGCATGTATTAGCACACTCTATCATCACACATTGCTTACCTCAAGCTAATGATTGACCATTGATAATCAACATACATGCACTTCAATAATTTAATTAATAGCTACCATTTTTAGGCGGGAAGAGAGATCACGTGATACCTGAAAAAGAAAAAGCGGGTAACACTCATTCACTGTGTGCTGAGAAGAAAGGCAGAAGCTGTAAGAGAGCAAGAGATAAATCATAAAATGCCTTTGAAAAAGAAAGGAAAGGTTAGTTAACGCGATTAACTACCTCCCAAAATATTCTCATTGAGTTTTCACCAGTAAATGACTTCATTTAGTGTTACAACATGTAATGGAGGGGGAACACGTTATGAGTATTTTATATTTGAGGGGAAGGAAAATTAATTTATAGTGTACCTGTACTGTATAACTGTTGCTAATGCTGGACTGTGGGTTTTAATTTGACAAATTTATTAGCATGGTCATTTAAAATGGTGGGACTAGTAGCTGTTAATTACATTTCAAACTTCATCATTACCAGCTTATTAATATATTTAATGTCTCTTGTCTCTGTTAGTCTGAGGAGACCCCAGCAGAAGTGGAGGTACCAGTAGCTTCCAAGGAAGAGGAGCAGCCAGAGGAACCAGTAGAGGCTGATGATCCTGCACCTGAAGACACTAAAGAGGAGGCCTCAGCTGCCCCACCCCAGAAGAGAGGAAGAGGGAGACCAAAGAAGGACCCTAATGCACCACCTAAACCAAAGGCAGCTCCTAAAACTAAAAAAGCTAAAATTGTAAGTGGATACACGGCAACTAATTAATTGATAATAATGTTCTGTTTGTTAGACTGAAGAGTCTGATGGAGCAGAGGCTCCTAAGAAACGTGGTCGTCCACGCAAAGTAATTAATAATATTCAAATTAATTGATAATGTTTTCTTGTGTATAGAATCCTGAAGCTGCCCCAACTGATAAACCGAAAAGAGGCAGAGGGCGTCCTCGTAAGAATCAGGAACCAACATCAGAAGGAGATGAAGAGCCCACACCAGCAGAAGAATAGAATAGAACACGAAACAAATTAATAAATGAATACATTATTAGCCTAACCTGTTGTCTCCCCATTATTATTATTATTATTAATTATTCTTCATTATCATGTCATACACACACATATAGTCCATTATTTTCTGCTTTCTTTCCTTTACTACTATTAGTTTTGTGTGTTTTTATTAATTAAAATAAGTTTCATATTTGTACTACTATTTCTTACAAATAAGCTTAATGTAGTGACAGTAATGTGGGTGTGGTCAAACTACAAAATCCCGCCATATTTGTTATTACCTCGTGTGTGCTCGTATAGATCAGTAGAAGTTACTAAAGAAGGGACTGGCTCTGTAACTAATTCTAAAGTAGATCATGCCGGCTAAGAAGAAAGCTAAGGTCATGTTTAACTAGTTTTGCCTTTCTAATTAAATTTTTATTTATTCATTTGTTTATTTATTTTAAATATGTATATTTGTTATTTTGTGGTCTCAGTAATATTTGATTCTGTGGAAGTGTTTGTACGACCCAGTGATAATTTTTGAGGGCAGATCCTAGTAAATTTGGTGTTTTGATAGTCATTTTGAACATGCTCGATGGCATGTGGCCACAAATTGAAACACACCACAAAAATTTGCAATTTCTCAAGAAAAAATAGCTATTGTAATTAAATGCATTCGTTACAAGATGACATGATTGTTTTGTGTTAAACAGGTGGAGGAGGAGGAGGAACAGGAAGAGATTGAAGAAGAAGAGGAGGAGATTGACTCACCTCCTGATGATGATGATGATGATGAGTATGATCCAAACAATGACGAGGAGCAAGAGCTGATAATGGCAGGAAAAGGGAGGAAGAGAAAGAGAGGGAGACAAGTATGAGCTTCAATTGATATCCTTTCACTCACTTTATGTACGTGTATCTGTTAGTCTTCTAGTGAAGAAGATGATGATGATGAATATAAACCATCAAGGAAACCAAAGGTCCAGGCCAGAAAACAAAGAAAAAGAGTAAATTAATAATAATACATATTATTATATATGGATATTGGGAAGAATTCTCTCCTTTTCAATTTTGGTGAAATCTAACCATACCCTGTACTTAATACAGGGACTTTAGTCTGATTTTTGAGCAACTTTAAAAATTGATTTAAAAAATCCAATTTTGATTGTAATCAGCTTATACTTTTTACGCAGCTTAAGTACATGTATATGTATCAGGAAATGTAATAAAACCATAATAATAATAATTATAATAATAATAATTATTATTATTATTATTATTTAGAGTGGTGATTATGATTCTCCAGTGAAGAAGAGAAAGCCTCCTCCTCCTCCGGCTAAGAAGACTCCAGGGAGAGGTAGGAAGCCAAAGAAGGTATCACTGGAAGAAGAGACTGGGTCACCCCCTCCCTCTCCTCCTAATGTGTCTCCGCCTACTGCCACGCCCATTTTATCGAAGAGCGTCACTGACTACAGTTCCATTGATCTTTCATCAGATGCTAAGAATAAAGATGGGAGGTATGACCCTGTTCCATTAATTAATTGTTTATTTATTAATAGCCCGTGGACTCATAAGTTTTCTTCATGGAATGTTAATGGTGTGAGGGCGTGGCTTAAAGTAATTATTAATCAATTATTATTTATTATTATTAATTGAGTACAGGCCAGTGGTATTGAATATGTTAATCAAGAGTGTCCTGATGTGTTCTGTATCCAGGAAACTAAATGTTCGGAAAAAGACTTACCAAAAGTAAGTACAGACCCTCTCCAGTGGGTGTGGTCTTCCCAATGGGTGTGGTCCACTGGTTTATAACTGATATATTGTTCTTTAGTCCGAGCTGGAAGTACCTGGTTACCATAGTTACTGGAATAGTGCAGAACAGAAAGGATACAGCGGCACTGGGTAATAATGAATTAATTTTATTTTATTTATTAATTTATTTATTTAGTTTATACAGCAAAGAGGAGCCAATTAATGTAACGTATGGAATAGGTTAGCTAATAACTATTAATAACATTAGTTTGATTGAAGTTAATTCTCACTTGTTTAAGGTATTCCTAAGCATGATAATGAGGGGCGTGTCATCACTGCCGAATTCGAAAAGTTTTATTTTGTGACTGCGTACATACCAAACGCTGGAGATAAATTGAAAAGGTACTTATACATGTACTCATTGTCCTTATAATTAGAGTATATATGGTAGACTATCGTACAGAGTGGGTGAATGGGACCCGGACTTTAAGAAATACCTCAAGTCACTGGATGAGAATAAACCAGTTGTACTCTGTGGGGACCTCAACGTGGCACATAAGGAAATTGGTAATTTATTAATTGAAGTGGGTGTGGTTTGTTCTGTAATTAAAGTGGGCATGAGCAATTTTACTCTGTTTTTTATTTGTTTATTTATAAAGGAAACGAGAGATTTAAATTAATAAACAGTTTTAAAAGAAAAGCTAGATATTATATACAGGAAATAATCCCTTGAAAACACTCACCCTGTTAGATGTAGAGGGAGTTTAGGTGACTTTTGGTCTCTCAAATTTAGCCCTAGGTCTCCCATCAAATAACAATTGATACTGATCCTAATAATATTGATGATACTGTTCTGGTTCTTTCTTTGATTGACAGATATTGCTAATCCTAAAACCAATCAAAGGTCTGCTGGTTTCACTAAGGAGGAGAGAGAGAGTTTCAGCTCATTACTAGAAGATAACAAGTTGATTGACTCATTCAGAGATCTTTATCCGGATAAGAAAGAAGCATATTCTTACTGGTCATACAGGTCTAATGCCAGGAAGAATAATAAAGGATGGTAGGTTGACTAGCATGATGTGTACATCAATGCTGTATGTAAAATTACATTCTAAACGGATGTACATGTATTTTAGTACAGAGATGTTAGGATTATTGTTCATGGTACTATCCTGTGTTAAGAATACACTGCATTCATTCACAGCTTAACAGTTTGTTGGTTTAAGAAGTACAGAGGACTACTGGTCTATATATTGTCTAGTGTCCTTTGATTGAACCTGTTGTTCCAATACAACACATGCAGTATACCATAGACTGATGGGTTGAGTCTCAATACGTCTATTCTGATGCACTAATGAATGCTGCATGTAGTTTTGTTTCAACAACACTCCCAGTTCCAACACTACATGTACTCACAATTAGACTATACACTAGGCTACACTGATCTTTGGTCTGTAGCTATTCAAATGTCTGTCCTTAAGCTAGAGGGTCCACATGAGCAGGTACTATTCTCTATCACTGTAGGAGACTGGACTATTTCCTGGTATCTGAAAGACTCAAGGCAGCAGTCTGTGACAGTATAATAAGATCTCAGGTCTATGGCAGTGACCACTGCCCCATTGTACTACTGGTAGCATTATAACTGAGGAATAACCTCTCACTGTACATGTACATACACAGTTTGACTAGCAAAACTTATTCTTTTATGTGAAACCCATTATTATTATTATTATTATTATTATTATTATTATTATTATTATTATTTCCTAGTCCCTTTATATTATTTCCTATTAGCAATCATCCTCCTTATACCTTTTATTGTTTATCAATTCTTTTGATACTTTACAACCCACTTTGAGCCAAATTTGAGGTGATATAAACATTTTCACATTGCAACAAAGGACTTTAAAATGCTTCCCAATGAAAGCTGCAGTTATTGATCCTGAGATGAATTTTAATTTTTGTTCAAAGTGTGGTTACACCAGGACATGATACACCCACACACTATTAGCTGCATGCTGAAGTGATTCAAGTGAAAAGTATAAATAAAGGACAGGACAGGTGCCTGGCAACCAACCGCTCAGGCGCTGAAAGCTTTACACAGCAGCAGCAGCTGACAGTAAGAGCTAGGAAAGAGAAGAGACTCTCATTCTACAGTGTAGACTCACTAAATAGTATTGCATCTGTAGAGAGGCACAGATATGAATACTAGCACCATGAACACACTGAGCCTGCCATTGGTAAACCAGGACTCGGCTCAAGCATTCAGCCCTCAGTCTCCAAAGTCTCCATTAGTTGACTTTGACAGGTCCATTGAACTCTCCAGTAGCTCATATCTTGAAGAGACAGATAATGTACTGGAGAATGTTCCTGATACACCCAAGGATACTCTGGAGCCTAGACTAGTGGATAATGAGACTGAATCACTGGGACTGAGGGTAGTGAAGCTTCTTAAAGGGAAGCTGGGCTGTAAACACTGTCCACTCCGTTACATAAAGAGACACATTGAGTACTGTATACGTATCAAAGTTGAGGAAGGATTAGCCGAATACATTGACGTATACTTCAAATACTCTTTCGGCACTTTTGGCAAAAAAGTAAAAGCAAAATGGATCAACTGTGACTCAACCGAGACCTTGAGTTTTGATCGGTTCAATAAATGAACTTAAAATCATATACTCGGCAATAGAACTATATCCATTACACACCATTATACCCACCATATCATTATCATTATTTATCCTTATATTTGTTATATTTGTATAGTTTATTTATAAGAACTTCTATAATTAGTTTTCAAACTAATCACTGTTGCCAATCAACGAACATTGCTACTGCTATACAGTCTACCCTGGTACTCCATGAGCAGTCAATGATTTGAGCAGCATTTCATGATAACAGTCAGTCAGTCAGTGTTCTTC